GAATCCTAGAGTGCATAAGGTCCCAGCACATGTAGCACAGTGGCACACATCCTCTACCCAATATTTCACAGTCACTTAGGACTGACTTGGTTACAGTGGGCATGTCTATACAAGACGCTTTACTTGAGATTAGAGCAAATTACTGCACAGTAAATGTCACTGTCTACTGTAAATACAAGTAGCAAATCTACTTGTGAGTAATTACTGTGCAGTACGGCATGTGCTGTCGGCTGATTGGGAGCAAATTTCCTTCCAATGAGCTGGGCAGCAGGTGGCAGGAGATTACTCCCTGCCCCCAGGAGCTGCCTGCTGCCAGGGCAGGCTCCACCACTAGAGTCCAGGTGAGGACTGCCCTGGCAGCAAGGAGCTCCCAGTCCCTGCTCCACAATCACAGAGCAGGGACTGGGAACAACCTCCCAGTCCCCGCTCCACAATCAAGATAAGGGAGTGTGGGCTAAGCGTTCCCTGCATGGGGAGAGTTCCCCACCCACCCCGGAACTGGCTGGGACATGCCCCTAACCGGGACAGATCCCGGCCAGGCCTGGGCTATGCAGAGAGGTCTGCATGTGCAGCCTAGAGGTGGTTGGGGACTGTCCCATTGTGGGCAGTCCCCAGTCAGCTCTAGGCTGCATGTTCAGACTTCCCTGCGCAGCCTGGGGCTGGCCTGGAACTGTTCCGGTCAGGGGCAGGTCCTACCCCCATGCCCTGATTGGGTGATCGAGGTGCAGAGCTTGGAAAGAGCTGCAGCGGGAGGGCAGGTCCCAGCCCCATGCCCTGATCTACCAGTGGAGCAGCTAGCAGTGAGCCTCCAGCTGGGTGGGGAAACTCTGCCAGCTGGGAGCTTGCTGCTAGCTGCACTACCAGCAGATCAGGGACAGGACACTAGGATCTGCCCCTCCCCTGCAGCTCTTTCCAAGCCCTCTGCCCCCAACTGGGGAGCTGGGGCTGAGTGCTCCATGCTGCTGGGGCAGGGGGACATAGTCCCCATCCAGGAACTGGTGGTGGAGCCCACCTTGGCAGCAGGCAGCTCCTGGGGGCAGGGAGCAATGTCCCAGCCCCCACAACGAGACAGCTGTCTCCTGGCTCTGTGCTCCCTGGCAGCCCCTGGACTAGCACACAGGGAGAGCCTCGAGCCTCTCCTGTCTGCTGCAGGGCTGGAGGGGGCAGGATCAGACTGCTGCCAGGAACAGCAAAAATGCTTCTGCATCCCCACACATGTAGATGCCTGTCTGGGGTGGGTTAACTCTAGAGTAATTTATGCCACCGTAAACCCAGCCTGCAGCATTTGCACATATATACATGCCCCGTGTTATTTCCAGAATTAATGTAACCCTCTATTAGCATATGGCTCTGCAGGCTGGAGGCACTCACAGGCTGGGACAGAAATTACACATAAACCGGTATAAGTGGTTGGAAACCGGTCCAAATCTGTAACACAATAGAAGTTTCATGCACATAAACCAATTTTAAAATGGCCAAAACCAGTTTAAGATAAACCTGGCAGACTAAACTGATTTATGTTAAATTGGTTTACTGAACTTCTTTCCCAGATCCCCTCCAGATTCAAGTTAATTTACAATCCCCCAGCATCCCAGGATGCTTTGCATCTCCCCCCACAAGTCCCACTTGCAGGTTGGGTGGGCTGGCCTTGGCCCAAGCTGTCTGCTCCAGTCAAGTGGGGGATGTGTATTCTAGCACCCCCTGGCTTCTAGCCTGGGCCACTGCAAGCAGGTGGCTGCATTTCCAAAATCAAAAGTGAAGTTTGGTTCACTTGCTTATTGGTTTAATCTACGCAGCTTAGACTAACCTGTGAAGACTGAATCGATTCAGCCTCGGGCTTTTTGACTGTCTGTACTTAGCCTCAAAGATGGGTCATCTGGCCGTCTATTTTCTCAAGGGGCTGATATGGAAGAATAGGGCAGGAGTAGCCCACTTGTGGAGTTTGTGTCCCTTCATCTGTCCAGAATGATTTGGTAGGGGGGCAGTGTCCTACTGCATCCGTGGCTGAATTTACTATTCCTCATTACCAGTGGCCTGGGAATCAGCATCACTTAGGGACAGGTGAGTGGAGCTGCAGCTGCAGCTGCAGTCAGGGCTGTAGAAGTGCCTTTCTCCACAGAACGTGAGACTGACAAGGGGATGTGAATCCATGTTAACCCAGAGATGTAGTAAGTAGAGCTTGTGCCCTGGGCAAAACCTGCAGGAGAGGCCAAGAATGAACATCAGAGGTGTCGGAGTTCCAAGAGTGGTGGGGAGGCACAGGAGTTTTGCCTATGCCAGGGACTCAGAAACAGTTCCCAGCTTTTGCTACTGCTGCAGCAGCTGCCACCACATGGTTTTCCTGCCCTGGCTGTTCCTTTTACAGAAGCTGTGTAATGTTTGTGCACCCAAATGCTGCTGCTGCTGCAGGAGCAATGCTGTGGGGCTGCTCTTGCTGCCAGGGCATGGACTCCCCAGGGGTGGGGGTGATTCTAGTGCCTATCCTAAATTGGTGCACGGGGCTGATGCCCTGCTTACCCACCCCGAGTTATGCTACTGTATTAACTCCTTGACTGTTGGCCATGCTGACACCTCCCTCCCGCAGCAGCATTTGTGGCCATGGTAGTGGGGTGTCTTGCTGCAGCTGAGAGAGTCCTAGCAAAAGCCAGACCTCTGGCAGCATTGTGGGCAGGGTTCACCATGGTCACAGAAGTTGTTGTCTGGAGGCACTTGCAGACAAGACCCTAGCGGGATTACAGAAATGTCTAAGCAGGAAAGGAGCTGTTGTTAATCCAGCTAAGAACTGATCCTTAAAGGTATCCAGGATGCAGGCCCAAATGAATCCAAATTTGATGCCAAAGAAGGACTTACACACAGAGCAGAGGTAATCACATCACAGAAAGCAATTCAGCTTAGCTTTACTCTGGTGGCCACAAAATCATCCAGGAAGAGCACACACCGACTGCAGATGCTTCCCCAGCCTGATGAAGGGTTTTTAAACCTGCAAGCTTACTGAGAAAATTTTTTCCAACTATTTAGTTGGTCTAATAAAAGATATCAGATTTACCCAAAGAACCTTGTCTGCCTTAGGTTTCAGAATTCATTCATTGGTGACATTTTGTTCTGCAAAGATCACCAGGCACCTAAACAGAGGTTTCTGAGCATGTACAGAAGTACATCCTTTTGAACAGCTACATGCCTGACTCCCACTTCAATTCTGCTGCAATCCAGTTTAGAACAAGTAAAACATTTACAAATAGCTAAGCCCTGATACAAGCTGGATCCATGAGGAGTACTCAGGGCCTGTCTAACTCACACCATGAGCACTGAGGTCAATATGGAGCACAGAGCCTATACTCACTGTCACTTGAAAAAGAGAAGAGTGATACCCACCTTTTATGTAATAGTCTAGCAGTTACAGCACTTGTTCAGGAAATGGGAGACCTAGGTTCTTAGGCCAGTGATTCTCAGTCAGGGTGCTTCAGTGTCCTGAGGTGCCATGAGATCCTTTTAAGGCTGCTGCAAGGTACTGTACAATATTATCACTGTTTGGTATGCTAACACCTCCACAGGATTCCCATGATAAATCCAGAGATTTCAAATAGGAATCTATTGTGCTGAAAATATTCTGGCCTGTTGTGGTCTTTCTGAATTCTTTGCAATAGAGGAATTGCTCTAATATTTTTCTGTACCCCAAAAAGACACAAAACCTAAGACCTGACATTTTCCAAGGAGTGCCTAGAGTCTAACAAGATTGGGACCCACTGCTCTAGGTCCTCCTCAGCTTAAGGGACTGAAATCCGTATCTCCCATGAGGCGATCCTAACAGCCAGGCTATAGGTCAGGTTGGGTAGACAAGGGGAATCACTTTCCCCATCTCTTGCTGATGAGGCCAGGCCAAAGGGCAGAATGGGATGTGAGAGTCCTGGCACCAGAAGGAGCCTAACCCTGCAGCCTGGTGTGCACTCCCTAGAAGAGGGACTTGCTCTCAGGATTCCTTATGCATTTTCCATTGAAGAGTCATTGAATAAAATACATAAATAGCATTGGGAACAAGGAACCCAGGTCTTCCCTCTCTTAGGGAGAGCCCTCATTAGTAGGCTAAAATCAGTCCTGCCCTAGTTGCTGTCCTCCTGCCCCCATGATTCTTACATTCTTGACTGCACGTGGCCCAATGTCTTCAACAGGAGGAGCAGAGGGTGGTTCTGTCCAGGCTGTGGGGGTTAGGGCAGTCTCCTGGGAAGTGGGAGTTTGATTCCTCTCAGGATGAGGTTGAGTTAAAAAGCTGCACCTCTGATTTTTAAATGGTCTAGTCATCAGACTCTCCTGCCAAAGATGGGCACTGGAACCATCACTGGTCAAAGGCATTTACTCTCTGTGTGCTATGGATCTTGAATTGATGGGTGTGCCTAAGGTCTGAGCAGGGATGGGAATTTAGACACATTCATCTTCAGTATCTACAGTGGGTGAGCTCTAGCTGCCTCCCTGCTCAGCTTCTAAGCCCTCTGGATCTCCCTGTGGAGGTGTCTAACTTTTCCCATGGATTTTCCTCTTAGAGCAAGGCATCTATACTTAGGCACATTTGAAGCCTGAATGGAGGCACCTATGTGGCTAATCTGGATTTGGCCCTCCATGCTTAACTCCCACCTTAAATGGTTTTCTCAATCTGGACAATCTGTATTGTTAAGCAACTAAATGCCTTTGTAAATTCAGCCCTATGCTCCCTAACTAGATGAATCATTTTAAATGAATGTGGTTTATATTTCCTTCAGTTATTTGTCACTATTCATACCATCTAACTGTTGTATAGTGTTCACACATTCACCTGGCCCTTTGGATTAACTCATCGTTTCATTTCCTTTGTGTATCTGACAGTCAGAGACTAGGTCAGTAGGGACCAGGAAAGGGTGTTTATTTACTTGAGCGAGGAAAGGGTGTGTTCAGATGTAATGCAGAGCATAGGCAGAAATTTCTAAAGGCAGTGGTAAGCCAGCTTGTCATTCTAGGTGGGGCAAAGTAAGAAAGAGGAAATAAAGACAGGCTGGGGAGGAAAGTTCAGGCTCGCTGCCTGACTTAACACATTTGCTAGTCACTTCTCAGTACAGCTATTTAGCAAGCATAGAGGAGGACATTTTGGGGAAGGTAAAGAGAGTCCATAAGGCAAATGAAGCGACCTGAGCTGTTCATTTTCAGCCTAGGTGAGTACTTTTTGGGTTGCGTCATTAGGGACAGACATGTTAAAATGCTCCAGGGATTTGTGTGTATGCGTGTTTTTCTCTCTTGTTAAGCACAGGCTCTTGTGTACTTACGACTGGCAGCTAGAGCGACTGCTACTTCATATTGCAATACCAAAACTTACATGCAATTCCATACCATTTCAGGGGCAGGAAGGGAATTAGATTTTAAAACCACTTTTATATGGTATTTATTACTGTTTTAAGTCCTTTGCCCCTGCAAAAAAGTGGAACGGGAAAATCTACAAGTCTTATTGTATGTGTGTGTGTATAGATAGATATACATAGACATATATATATAGACATATGTAGACATAAGTAAATAGATATAGATAGATAGATAGATAGATAGATAGATAGATACACACACGTAATCTATCTATCTATATGAAGAGACTTTTCTAACTCAAGATGTAGATTTACCAACTTCTCTAAACTCAATAGCTTGTTCTTGCTGTTTATCACAGCCTTTGCCATTGATCTGTTATGGCTTCCCTTCATGTTTCTCTGCATTCCTGATTACACTGGCCTTGACTCACCTTACACAAATGTCTTCATGCCTTCCTCATGCCATCTCCTCAGCCTCAAACCCTCTCCCCAAACCTACTCCCTTAAGCATCCCCTTTGCCTCATTCAAAATCCTCTGAAAACGCCTGTAAAGTAAAGCCTGGGGGAAGAGAATGGTCAGTACTTAGCTAAATATCATTAAAAAAAATTCTGTTCCCCAGAAGCAGATGCAAACTGAGTCTCCAGGTGATCTTATTTATGCGACTTGTCTAACCCTATCTTAGTATCAGTTCCCTTTTGTTTCCTCCTGTATTCACTTCTTGGGTCTTATGTAAATTCTAATTGTGAGCCATAGCCCCTGAATTTTATTTCAATGGACCCTGAATTTTAACAGTATTATGAAAGCACTGGCCTTTGAGAGATGTTTAGAGCAGTGGTTCTCAACCTTTTTTGTACCAGGATCCTTTTGTAAACATCGATGACCAGTCTTGATCCAGTGCCTCTTACTCCTGACCCACTGCCCTCCGTCCCCAGGCCTGAGCCCCCTAGCGTGTGGGGCAGAGGGTGGTATGTGTGGGCCCTGGGGGCCCCAAGCAGCCGCTTAAAGCCACAGTTTCCCACATTTTTCTCTTTTAAAAGCGAATCCATTTTAAAAGTTTGTTGATCCATTTTTACAGTTCGTCCATGACCCTTTCATATATTCTTGAGACCCACGTTTGGGTCACTGCCCACAGGTTGAGAAACGCTAGTTTAAAGAATGGTTTGAAGTCACTAGACAAGTGCAGCATACCTGAGATGAGAGTGACACTAGAGAATGCTAAGCAGCAGGGTGTATTAGCCCATATGGAGCTAAGAAGCAGGGGCTGAGTCTAAATGAGATGGTGACTGCAGTTGTTACTACACAATCATTTTGTACTTGCATACACAAGTACTCAATGACTGCCCAGTAATCGGAGTTACTGTGCAGTAGTATTGCCGAATGGCTTTTAGGTGACGCTGACTGCGCAGTAGCTTGTTACTACTGCACAGTAGCATTGTATCATGCTTTGTGCCATGTGATGCTACTGTGCAGTAGTAACAAGCTACTGCGCAGTCAGCATCTCATGTAGATGTGGCCAGGGTATACTAGCCAGAGCAGAGCAGCACTCCAACAAGGGGCTGCTCAGCAGTGTCATCAGTATTGGGTGACCAGGGCACCTTAGAGTGAGTGCAAGGATGGCAGCCATTGCTGCTGTCAGCTCAGCTGCTGCAGTTGGCCTGGCTCCCACAGCTATCAAAGCTATCCTGGCCCCTGCCATTGCTGCTGGCCAGGAGGTTGAGCCTGACTGTCAAACCTCTGGTTATATTAAGCACAATACCTGAATGAGCTTGTTCAGAGTTAGCTGATGAATGTCCGCCCAGTGCTGTTTTGCCTTGCATAAATGTGGTCTTAGAGACCAGGTCCCCATGGTGCCATACACTGCACAAACACTTAACAAGAGAGACATTCTTGTCTCAAAATGCTTAAACACTTAGCACAGACTATAATAAACAAGAAAGATACAACAGATAAGCAGGAGGTTGCACAGGGAAATGTTCTCAGGTATGCAAACAGATTATGAAGTCATGAGGTGCAGGAATCTTATTTCAAGGTGTCGTGGGCTGCACTTTCCTTGGAGTTGTGTATATATATTTTTCACTTAGGTAGAGTAGCTCCACATTGTTTGTCGTGTTTGTTAATTCCATTTGAGGAGCAGCATAAAGGGCATGGCAATGAGAATGAGAGTGGAGGTGAATTTTCTCTCTGTTGGGCAGGGAGTTTCTCTTGAAGAGGTGGGTCAGGGAAGGAACTTTTTATAGTCAGGCTGCACTTGCTCAACAGTCTCATGAAAGGAGACTTTCACCCTGAGGCTCAGTTTCTCTTTCCGAAATGTTCTTAGGTCACCAATGATGTGTATGATTATCAACACTTACAAAACTTCTACAATCTAACTGGCTTTTCACTAGAGCCATGTGAACAGTTGATTTCATTTTTTGGTTTTCTTGCTGCAATCAGGACTATACAAAATGTAGGTTAGATTGAACAGAACATTTTTGTTCAACAGGAAAAGAAATCTCTCATTTGTTTCCAGGGAGTTTTACTTTTGCATTCAACGTTGCTAGACTTTGAAATAAAGTGTTTTGAAATCTAAAATCAAAATATTCCATTTCGAAAATATCAAAACAATGCATGTCATCTTCTCTAAATGTTTTCTCAAGCTGAAATGATTGAACAATTTCATAACAGATCATCTTGTTCTATCACAATCTGCACTTTTCAATTAAGAACATATTCAGTGGAAAAAAAGTCAACCTGCTGTACATTTTGCCCTTTGTTCTCTTCCTATTCTGTTTATTACCATTTGCTCAACATGGGCAGTGAAAGTAAATGAGTCACTGCCTTTCCTGTTCTTCTGGACTAAAACCTGAAAGCAGGGCAGAGAAAGAAGCCTTTTAATTGATTCTGTTACAAAAATTAGAAAAAGCACTTCTATTTTCTAACAAATTCTAAACCAGGTTGACATTTTTTCTTTCACAACATATTAGGTCAGGGCTGTCCAACTTTTGAGCAGCTGAGGGCCATACCCTATGTAGGCAACCTGGGCTCCACTGGTCTTCCTATGTGGGCAGCATGGTCAGCATGACCCCCACTTTGTGCAGTTCCCTGGACTTCCATGGGCCATCCCACCCTGGCCTGCTCCCAGGGGCAGGAAGCAGAAGTTGGAGGAGGGAGGGAAAGCCTGGAGCAGTGGGAGGAGTGGCACCTGGGTGTTAAACTAGGCAGTCTGTTGGCTGCCACTTGGACAGTCCTTGATTAAGTTATTTCTGCCTTGAATGGGATGGAATTTGAGGCTCTTTTTCTTTCAGTTGGGCTTGGAACAAGTTCTGTTTCTCTCCAACCCTACCCCCCTGTAGAAAGCCTGATTTTGGACATGTTGCTTATTCTATTTGGGGGCAGAAAGCAACTGTGTGGCACTAAAAACATACATTGTAAAATGGGCCTCATCAATGTGCTTGGTGATTTCCTAAAAAGCACAGAGGTAGGAGGAAGGAACTAGGACAGGACAGGTTAGATAGGTGGCACTCCAGAACATAACAAAACAGGGTCCCTGAGACTTAGAAAGACATGCTGCAGAGAGGTGCAGTTGGATTTTGAGCCAGTCAGACAATCTAATTGGACCTAGGAAATAAATGGGAGGGCACTGAGAACTCAGCATCTCACATGGTGGGGCCAGGCAAGTCAGAATGGTTGCTCAGTCATATTTCATAGATTCACAGATGCTAGGGTGGGAAGGGACCTCAACAGATCATTGAGCCCAACCCCCTGCCTAGGCAGGAAAGAGTGCTGGGGTCAGATGACCCCAGCCAGATGCCTATCCAGCCTTAGAGCCCCCCCAAGGTAGGGAAGAGCACCACCTCCCTTGGAAGCCCATTCCAAATTTTCGCCACCCTTACCATGAAGACGTTTTTCCTGATATCTAACCTAAATCTGCTCTCTGTCAGTTTGTGATCGTCGTTCCTTGTTACCTCAAGAGACGCCCTGGTGAACAGAGCATCTTCGATCCCTTGCTGCGCCCCCCTAATGAATTTGTAGGTGGCCATAAGATCACCTCTCAGCCTTCTCTTGTGGAGGCTGAAGAGGTCCAGGTCCCTCAGTCTCTCCTCATAGGGCTTGTCCTGTAAGCCGCTGACCATATGAGTGGCTTTCCTCTGGACCCTCTCAAGTCTATCAACATCCTTCTTGAAGTACGGTGCCCAAAACTGGACGCAGTACTCCAACTGCAGTCTGACCAATGACACATAGAGGGGAAGTATTACCTCCTTGGTTGTATTTGTCATACATCTGCTGATGCATGATAAAGTGCGGTTAGCTTTGCTGATGATTTTGTCACATTGACAACTCATGTTCATCTTGGAGTCCGTTATGACTCTGAGATCCCTTTCTGCTTCTGTGCTGCTGAGAGGGTCACTTCCCAGCCAGGAGGTGTGCTGGATATCTTTCTTTGCAGCATACTTACTACTCATTGTCTCTGCTGCACCTGGGGTTAGGGCAGGGGTGGGCAAAATCCAGTCCGCATGCTGAATCTGGCCCATGGGGCCCCTAAAAAATTTAGAAAATTAATATTTATCTGCCCTTGATTCATGTAAAAAATGGCAGGAACCAAGGGCGGTAGGACCCAGGGGAAGCCTGGTGGGCTTCCACAACAGCAGGGCCCACCTGGCCCTGCCCCCCCAGCTGGAAGCCCCAGTAGGGGCTTCTGGTTTGGGAGCACATGGCTGCCTTGGTGATGCCAGAACCTCAGGTAAAGGGAAGGGCAGGGGAGGACCCGGGGGAAAGTGGCCTGGGGAAAAGCTGAGTGCAGGTGCGGGAAAAGCGGCCCTTTGCCCACCCCATGGCTGGCACCCTGCACTGCCAGGCAGCCCCATGTGGGCTGTGA